ACTTGTACCAGGATTTAATTTAATATCTCACATTACCATAAATGAAAGAAGGAAAAAGGAAGCTCTCGGAGATTTAGGTATAATTTATTTTATAACAGGAATTGGATTTTTAGGTTTCATTGTTCAAGCACATCGTACATTTCCAATTAGATCAAACTTATTTTACATCTGCAACTATAATTTAAATCAAGTTGAACTAAACTTTTCTATTCTATTTTGCAATTACCAGAATAGCCAGGTAAATTCGTAGAAACTAATTGAATTCTACAGTACATTACACGAAATACTAGATTTCGAAGAGAAAATTATTTTTACGTTATTAACTGTTCTGTGTTATCTGAAACGAAATTACCTTCCCGCTAATCATTTCGTTGTACCTTCAATTAGCCGAAATGAAGTGTAAAGCGGAAACGTACCAATAAGGATTACAAAAGGGAACGGAGGACGAACAAACTGAAATTAAAGCAAACCAAAATCATCAAGCTTCATCGGGATGGAAATTTACACACATTAAATGTCGCGTTTATAAGAGGCTTGGAACCACTACATTTCGACCACCAAGCATCTGTTTAATCCATTACCAACCAATGGTACACACATTTGGTTTACAACCTGCCCTATTTATCATTAACGATCGCGTCAATCATTCCTCTCTTTTATCTGTTTGTCATTCTCCTATTTCACCGTATGCAACTCCTCCTGCACTCTAATCGTTTATTTTTAACGATTGCAACTGTTTTTTGCGTTTAACTTAAATTTTCTCCGATATTAACACTTAAAGCGCCCGCCATTTTGTTGGGAACTTCACTTAAAGCGCCCGCCATTTTGTTGGAAACTTTACTTAATGCGCCGCAATATTTACGAGTTTTGTAGAAACACGCAGTTTTACGAAATAAAATAAAATAACTCTTGTAAAACAGAAAGTTTCTATTCGAAAATTTTACACAGTGCTTATTACAGGCACAGCGACGATTTTTAATGATATTCAGCCACTTGCTGTTCGAGAGATATCATATTTTTATCTGCACAAGCATGTAAAAACGAATTTTACCGGATTTTAACGCGTTTTAAAAACGCTAGTCCACATATTACGCCTTAAAGCGGGTCCGGCGCTTAAAGTGTTAATTAACATACGGTATGTGTGTACATTTCGAATAAAATACATATTTCAACAAATCTGTTAGACTTAGATTTCCCATTTCAGAACGCTTAATTCTAGAAATAGAATTCTTACAAAATTTATACGATACACTTGGAATTTTTATTTACACTTTAACACAGCTACACTGCCTACAACAGAGAGACAACGGAAGCGTAGAGGAGGATAGAGAAAAGGAAACGACGGTGTGATTAAAATATAACGAAGAAATGAAAACGCTACACGCGGTGAATTTGAGAAATATGGCTTCTGACAAAATTAATTATACTAATTTCGGTGTATAATTACGGCAAGTACAGCTGACGAGGAATTGACTGTGCGAAAGAAGCTTTTAGCGTAACGATTGTCTGTATACATGAATTATTTGCGATAGTAATGTATATCGTGTTATGGTAGATTGAAATGCACCCTACCTGGTTGTGTTGCCATTCACATGGCCGCAATAACGTCCTGTTTCATCCTCAAGATCCTCAATGCCATTAGAGAATTGAACGTAGGCACCCTCGCATCTGGCTTCTTTCAGGAAACCAACTTGCAGCGTCCTAACTTTTAACTCGATCACCTGGATCAAATTTGATTATCGCTTGTTCAACAGCGCTCTTGAGATGTTGTCGAAAAATTAAATTCTATGCCAAAAAATACGTATATACACTACCGGCCAGAAGTTTGGAATCACCGAGCATTACAATTTACACAAAAATTTCCAAAAAAATGTCAGCGACTTTGAGAATCTTTTTATCATTCGAATCAATTGATATACTTCAGAGATAAACTTCAAATCTATCAAAAATCAGCAGCAGATGTAATATTGATGAAAAGTGGGAGGTGATTCCAAACTTTTCGCCGGTAGTGTACGTTTAGTTTTTGATATCATTTAAATAGTTTGCAAAGGAATCGATGAAAAATATTTGTTATTTTTTTTTTTCCAAATAAATTTTCGTTTTAAGCAATTTCACAAATTTTTCGTCTCAGTTAATCAGTTCTGCGTATGGAAAAGTATAATCAGTTTTGATCACAGCTGGATAAAATATTGTTTCAAATAGTAAAAAGTGTATTTTATTTTAAATCGTGAGTATAATTATGAAAGTGAAATAGTTTATTTGTTGCGATGAGTTTTTCAAGTAATACTTAAAAATAGCACTTTATTTGAAGGATATTGAAAATAGCGGGGTTTTATTTTGAAATATTTTATTTATTTTAATTCGTCTTCTGTTCATTTTTAATTAAGCGAGTATTCTAAGCAATGAAAACGTCTATTTCATATATTTTTTTTTTTGAAATTTTGCTCAGCTCTAGTTTTAATACGTGTATTGCTATTTTTATGAAATTTATTCCACAACTTCGATTAATTGGAAGCAATGAAAAAGTAAATAGCAAGAAAAATTTATATTCGTGATTAAAGTTTACAAATCCTTTCCAAGTGACGTGTAAAATTCTATAGAAAGAGAGCAGAAAAATTGGTTCTTGAGTGAAGAACATGTGCTTATTTACGTTATCAGTGATTACTTTGATTAGAATAAAATACAACTATTTTCAGTAAAAATTAGGACTGAATGATATGATTTTATGTTTTATTTCGCAAGTAATTCGTTGCACAAAATGTATGGAATTTTTTGAAATATTGGTAAGAAGATTTGCACGAACCTGAGGATCTCTAAGAGGCGCTTTGATACGAACAATGCAACGCCCCATTCGACCTGTCCATCGTATCCATCCAACGGAATTCCTGACAGTACGGTTGCATCCTGTGCAAAAATAAAAAATACAGCAATTAAATTCGTCCTATAATAACAATCTCGTTCAATTAAACGGGAATTGTTAGTGCAGGCCGGCGCAACGAGGAAAACATAGTGGAATATGAATCTGAAAAGATCACACGGATGAAATACGAAGGTAAAAATCCGTTTTATTTGATCCAGAAACGTTCCTGGTACAATGCAAATATCGTCTAATTGAACAAAGCTTCTAGTTACTGGGTTTCTGTGTAACAGTCCAACTTTTTCAACGATCTAAAGCATAAATTATATTTCGTTGCAGCGGAGCTGGAAAAACGTTTGATGTTATGAAAAATTTAATAAGGTATACGTTGCTGAATTTTTATTAATCAATGTCGTATAATCGTGTTCGTTATTTATATTTTAATAGCAGGAACAATTTCGTGTATTTTAAGTATTTTTCTCAGAAAAATTGTACAACAATTTTGTTTAATATTAACATTGTTAATTTGGCAAATTTAATTCAGAATGTTGTAGTTATTTACCTTTTTCATTATTAATTCTGTAATATAAATAATTTCAATTTTTCTAGGAAGATCCAAAATTATTTAAAAATAGAGTTGACGAGATGTTCGATATTAAAAAAATTTTTAAATTAGGCATAGTAAGTGATTGTGTGGGGTTAGGGTTTCTTTCAATTGTAAACCAAATCCGCTACTTGGCTTCGAGACTAGAATTATCAATAAATATATTAAAATTATTGAAAAATAAAATTAACGAGATGTTTCATATTAAAAAATTTTTAAATTCGGCACAGTAAGTGACTGTGTGTGGTTAGGGTTTCTTTTAATTGTAAACCAAATCCGTTACTCGTCTTCGAAATTAGAATTATCAAAAAATATACGTTTAATATTTTACTTTGATAATATCCAACGCGTTGCCGATGTCGAAATGATTCGCTCACGAACTTTCCTACGCTCTTTTATACTTTTCAAGAGGTTACCGAGGTTGTTGACATTATCGTTTGAACAACATATCTCGCTATTTAAAGTCGTTCACCAAAACAAAAGGATGTAAATATACTTGGTTCTATAAAAGGCACAGCAAAGATGCGGCCAAGTGGATTAAAGTCAAACGAACGAGATAGTTATGGGACGGAAGGGGGGGGGACAACGAATGTTAAACATTCATTTTTCTTCATAAATTCCTCTTTAACATCTCATTAGCTGAACAACGATCCAAGGAAATACGAAAGAGCTTGTCTGATAACCGTACAATTGTTGTAGTACACTTGTTATAATGAAATCAGTACGATAAAATAGTTCACATTTCAATAGACTTACAACAATGCATTTTTCTACCGGATAACGAGGAAAATCGATGTAAAGTATGAAAGACGGGTAATTCCGGTGAATAAAAGGGCTGTTGTAGCACTTATTTGTGAATGAATTCATCGTTATTCTTTATTCGGTGAAATGATAAGACTTAAATTATCATAATTTGCTGGAACTACTTGCAGACTTATGAAAGGAACACGAAGGATGCTCTTGTAATTGAGTTAACAGGCTATTTTCTCTTTGCCAAATTTATCTAAAGGACAGATTATATTGTAGAATCACTTGTAAACTAAAGTTTCATTCGGGAAACCAACGAAACGATCTTTTAATAAATAAGCTTGCTGTTGTGTCTTTGTAATTATTTCATTTATTTAGGGTACTGATTAACACAATGGATTTCATTCTTTGCTTGAGTTTCAAACTACTTATACGTTTCTACGTGTTTTCAACTGTTTGGCCACCTTTTGCAATCAAATTTTTATTATACACGTCTCAATAAATACCCAGTTTAAACCTATTGTGCCTTAATACTTATTTGCTCAGTTTTGAATGCTCTTTTAATTTCCCTAAAGAAATCTAAATAGGACGTGCACTAAGAAAGAATAGAGACGATCTTCGCAACATTTACGTGTAATAAATGCAGGACAGCGTTAATTATTCTATCGTATGTCTCCCTTGAAATCGCCCAACGTTCACTTCCTACACTTTTCCTGCAGCTAATAGTTTACGAGTAATTTCAAGTCGCCGAGTTTGGGTCAAAAAAGACCCAAAGACCTTCTTGCGTAACAATTTTTCCTACCAGCACGCCATATGAACCTAAACAATAAACTCTTAATATAACGTTAAAGGAACACAAACAAGTGTATTAGTAACAATTTCGTTAAATTTCGTTGATAACAGCAAAACTTATTAACCCTTTGCACTCCAATGGCGCTTTTATGGCGACACGCGTAATGACTTTGGAGAAAATTTTTTATATTACTTTATATTATCAAAATAATGCAAATTAACACAAGAAATACAAATAAATAAATTCGTAAACACTAAAAAATCCTTTTTTTTTTTTTTCAAGACAAAACTTTGGCTTTCCAGAAGTTTCACTATTAATCTTATCGAACCATGCTCGGAGTGCAAAGGATTAACCCTTTCACTGCAATTGGCCTCTATAGGCGTTTCGAAAATTCGTCCGCATTTTTGGCGCACTTTCATACCAATTCAAGCCTTAACTTTACCCTCTGCACTCTTCCGCGTAAATTCACTAAAACAAATCTTAAAACGATACTCCAAAAAAAAAAAAAAAAATTTTGCGGCCATTCTGGAACATTTAAATCTATCATACGCGTTATGCGCCAAAATTTGCCGCAGCGAAAGGGTTAAAGAAACGACAACTCGATGGGTCAAAGAAGACCCGAAGACAGTATCAGGATTAACGAACAGGCGAGGAATGAAAATGTCCAACAATCCTACCGTCAAAAGGGTGAATCCTTCACCCTTCGCGAGAGACTCGTCGTTCGAAAATCCTCGTTCCGTGTATGCCGAAAATTTCACGCTCCTAATCATCCCGGTCCCATTAGTTCGTACGCAACGGCCACTAATCCGTGCGCGTTTCGCACGGCGCGGCGTAAAGTCAAAGAAGCAAATCGTTAGAGCGGGAAAATCCGCTGTATCGGCGGATGGCAGGGCGGCAGACGAGCGTAAATCACGCTTATATCGTTACTCGCACAACGCTTCCATTGTACCGAGCAAATAATACCGGCCGTATCGCATCCGCGCCACGAATATTGTTAGGATAATCGCGCAAACAGGGACCTTAACGTTTCGCTCGCCGCTTCAATGTCGTGTTAAGCCGGCCAATCGAGTCGCGGCACATTAAAAATAAGTGCGCGGTGGAAAGCGGAAGCAACAGTGGATCTGAATAGGCTGAAGCAAGCTGAAACGCGTGCACTCCTTATTTAACTCTTTGCGGTGGTATTTTCCGTGGGCATGTTAGTCGTAATGGTTGGCATTATTTTTTGGTAGCGCCAAAAATTATTGCCCAAAAAAGGGGTAAATTCTGTTCGAATGAGTTTGTTCGAGCTGTGTGCATATTGTTATTATTTTTCACAAGTTTCTGCGGGCAAAGAGCGGTCGTAGAGAGTTTAGAAGGTAAAAACGCGTTGCGGGGAATATTTTGGGGTTCCACCGAAAATAGTTTGGGACCTCTTGATGGCTCGTGTAAAAAGAAATTAGGGTCGCATCTGGTGTTAGGAGGGAATCGAAGTAAAAACGGAAGTGTGGGAATGAGTAATTTCAATTCGTCACGTTCTTTTCTCGATTTTTGAGATTCTCGGAGGAATGTAGTAATTTGTAGATTGTATTCGAGGAAATAACGATTCTGATTCTGTTCTGATAATATTCTGAAACATTCTATAAAATATTCCATAAAATATAAAAATTAAATTCCACAAAAATTTCTATTTTTGTACAACAGAAGGAGCTCGGTTAATTCGGTACTAATTTTTCCAAGACATTTTTAGGAAAATTATGAAATCACTTGCGGGAACAGAACCAGTTAGATGCTTCTACGTTGAAGCGTTCATCTTTATAGAATTGACGAAAACGATGATTAATGACCGTGAAATTAGCTTGAATGGGATAAGAGAGAAGTTTCAAAGAATCCTAAAGTTTATGAAATGATAAGTTTCTATGTGCCGCTGGAAAACGATTCGGTGAAATAATGGACGTTGATTAATGATTTATATGACAATCTTAAACCAGAAAATAGAGTGATACACGAATTTATCGAAATTCTGTCATACGTCTTTTCGCGAATTAATAAATGCAAATGAAAAATAATAAGAATTAACTCTACGTAATATCTTGTAATGAAAACTTCTAAAAAACAATTTTAACATTATTTAATTCAATCATCTTCCTCGTCAAAGCATTTAACTATATTATTATTTATACATAACTAAATACACATAAACCAAATCACCAACCACGATAAATTACAATATTTGTCAATACCACAATTAGTAAACAAACTTCAATCGCAAGAGTATCGAAATTTTAACCGACAAAATTACGAAATATCAATTAATTTATTCGAAAATCCGAAATATTTCATTTCATTATTTCCTTATTGAAAATCCTATATATTTCCACGTGAATTTATTTACGAAATATTTGAACGTTGAACGATTATCGTTAACGACCAATTCACCAGACTGAACGTCCTGAAAATAAATGCGATTTACAGCAGCGAATAGGCAGGATTTCCTCGTGGTTCGATCGCATTATCACGGTCGAAATAACGAGGAACTGTTTTCATACATAACTCCTAATATCGTCACTTGAACGGCTCGTTGATTACACGATTTTCTCTTGTCCCGTTTCGTTATGTACTCTACACGGCCTTAATCGTAGCCGGCTATATTTCTGCGGACTAATCCGACTATTTTCCACCGGCAGAGCCCTGTGGACGGACCCTAATATTCGTAAATGTCGTTCGATCCTGATACGCGATTATAGTGTGCCCCCTCGTTAATGAGATTCCTCGTCGGGCAAACGATCGAGCCCCAGCTAGAAACTTCCAAACCGTCGTCGGCCATTCGGTTATTAGGGATTCGAGGGAAATATGGATCAACGGGGAAGAATTGAAAGGCTCGGTGCGATAATTGGTGATTTCCATTTTCTATGGAAAATTCATTT